GTGCGCGGGGTACCTTGTGGTCCGCGGCAAGCGGTGTCGTCCGTCCCCTACTGATCCTCCTTGTCGCGTGTCCTTGCGGCAGGGTCTCGGTGGCGGGCTGCGTTCCCGGGACACCTCGGGACGGCGTAGCGCTGAGGCTCGCCGGGGCGCCTGGCCGGGACGGTTGACGGAGGTTCTGTATAGTGCATATTGAGGGTTATGACTTAAGGTTCATTCATTCATGGACTTTTTTCTTTTGGTATTGGGGATGAAACCAGCGCCTTCACACTGAGCTTCACCCCCAACCCTATTTATTTTGAGGCAGTCTTGCTAAGTGGCCCTGGCTTTCCTCCAACTTGTGATTCTCCTGCCTCAGCCTCCCGAGTGGGCTTGTGCCGCCGCTGCCAGTTCATGGAGCTTTATTATGCTTCTTTGTTGTGTGTGCCAGACACAGTGGTAGAGCCCTGGGCCGTGGTGCTGGTGAGAAAGACTTTGTCCATTCCCTCACAGCTCTTAGGCTTGTACTATTTAATCCCTTCACGCGTGTGCATATAACGCGCACTAAGATAAATGCCGCTCGCTAGACACAGCCTTGAGTAAGAGCTTGCTCTGAGGAGCTGAGGTTTGGACCGCCTTGGAGAGGGGCATGGGGCATAAAGGAGGCTGGGAGCCACAGCTGTCTGTAGAGAGGACAAATCGGACCTGGATGTGTAGTTTCAGTGATAAGCTGGGACAAGGGCTGGAATCTGTGTGGATGTGATCACTGAGTTCCTTGATTAGAAGGGAAAGAGGGCCGGTTTGCTGCCACACTCAACTTTGAGGACGAGGTGTTCTCATTTCCCCACCAGTCCATCCCCAGCTGAAGGTCTCAGGTGCTTCACTGATTTATGGTCCTAACTTCATGGGGGAGAAGTTCCTTCAGCTCTGTCTGAATTCTCTTTATGGCTGGGAGTCTTTCTGAGGTGACATTGGAAATGACTTTGCCAATAAGGCAGAAAATAGAACTTAATGGATTTTATTTTTGAAGCAATGAGAACATTAGGCTTGCTGTTCAGCTGTCACTAGTTTATTAAATATGATAAGCTGGTTGGAGAGGAGGTACTCTGCAAATGCTTTCTCTTGTTTACTATTTGTGAAGAGGCAGAGTCTTGCTGTATTGCCCAGGCGTCTTGTCTCCGCCTCCCTGGTAGCTGGGACCGCACACACAAACCACTGCACCTAGATGGTTTTCCTTTCTCCGCACGCACAAACCACTGCACCTAGATGGTTTTCCTTTCTGACTGCTGGGTTTCTAATGTTCTTCCTTAAACTGTGGTTGAGGTTTTTTGGTTTTTGTTTTAGTTTTGTGTGTGTGTTGTCAGACACTTATCTTTTCCATCTCATTTTTAACACATATGCATTACAGTTATCAAGATTGGCTCAATATAGTATGTGGTTGAATAAGTGATTCAGGTAGGAGGTCAAGTAAAGCTTGCACTGTTTTTTTGTTTTTTTTTTTCCTCTTTTCTCTTTTTCTGGTACAGGGGATCAAACTCAGGACCTTGTGGTTGTGAGGCAGGTATGGTGTCACTGAGCTAAATCCCCAGCCCAAACTTGCACTTTGTTTTTGATACCGGGGCTCAAACTCAGGTCCTTGTGCTTGCAAGGAAGGCAGCAGAACCAATGAGTTGCACTTTCTGATTGGTACATCAGATGTTTCCTTAAGTGGCACAGAAATGATGAAGTTTGATCATTTGGAGTGAACATAAGAGCAGTACCATTGGATTTCATTTGCAGAAAGTGCTTTCCATATCAAGCAGGGGTCCTTTGGAGTCTCATGTTCTGGATTTTGTGTCCTGGTCTAAGGGTTAAGGGTGTAAGAAACTGTTTATGCAGACTGGCAGTGAAATATGCCTTTTTTTTTTTTTTTTTTTTTTTGGTGCCAGGTATCAGGAAATGTGCCTTATTGAATTGTGAAAAGAATGAAGAAGATTCTTGGTTGCCACTAATATGCCTGATTGGCTTTTCCTCCTTTCTTACAGTTATTTCTGCTACAGGGGCCATGACACCACTTCTCTGTCACCTGTGTCCTGCTTGGTCCAGCTAACGTTCTGGGAGCCCTGGTCTGAGGAGGAATTGAGCTGACTGTTGGCATGAGGACCCTGCATTCCTGGAGTTGAGAGCGCACTGCCATGGCTTCTCTGGATGACCCAGGGGATGTGAGGGAGGGCTTTCTATGCCCCCTGTGCTTGAAGGACCTGCAGTCTTTCTATCTCCTGCAGTCACATTATGAGGAGGAGCACTCAGGGGAAGACCGTGATGTCAAAGGACAGATTAAAAGTAAGAACAAGATCCTGGCTTATCCCATTCTGCCTCTGAGGGCTTTGATTGATGGGATGGTTTCTGTGGGGCTCCATGGTGCACCAGGATGTGATAGTGATAATAGTAGCCAATGGCTATCCTGTGCTGTCTGTGTGCCGGCCAGTGTTCGTAGTCTCCCTGAACATTTCTCTGAATGTTCCCCTTGGCTGTGCGACTGTGAGCACTGTTGCTGAAAAGGGTATCAGGCACATAGATGAGATAACTGGCCTCAAGTCACAGCATGAAGCAGAGCCTGGCTTTGAATGGAGTAGCTGCAGTCACTGTGATCTGCTGACCCTTGCCGGATTGTTCAAGTTTTCTGACCCTTTGCTGTGAGGGTTTGGACAGGGATGCCTTTTGTATGCTGTGATTTGTCCATCACAAATGCAAGCCACTCACCATCCATCCTTCCTTTCCCAACTGGACCTTGCCCTCTCCAGCCTGGAAAAGGACGATCATAGTAGAAAACAAAACAAAAGAACCAAAAAAACAAAACACAAAAAACCCCAAACAACCCAAAAACTTTAGACCTTGGATTTGAGCTTCCAAGGGCTCAGGTTCTGGAGAGTTACAGACAGAATTTTTCAGAGATTATTTTGACTACGCATAATGTGTTTCCTGGATTTCAAGTTCTGATTCTCAAATGAGTTGCTGCTCCTCTGCTTTTTCTAGTTACTTAGCTAACTTGTTTGTTGTACCTGCAGCCTTTCAGAAAGACTTAAGGATTTAGAGGGACTGGATGCTGTGTTCATAATCTTTACTAGGTAGAAAGAAGGATGCTAGCTGTATTGCCAGGTGGGCTCTGGCTTTCAAACACGTGAGTCACATGCACCTTAGAATCAGATATCTGTCCCTGGAGTTCTCTCCGTGTCTCAGTTCTCAGTTTAAGGGAAAAAGAGTGTTGATAAAAAATTAACAGTTATAACTTACCCCTAACATGAGAGAGGCAGACATTTTCAAAGCCCTGAGAGCTGTAATGATCAAGGTTCCTCCTGGCCATGGAGGTTGGAGCAGAGCCATCACTTTTAGGAGGAATGAAAACAGCACCATGTGGTGCCAGGGATTTAGCTCAGCTGTTCGGTGGCCTGCCTTGCAAGTACAAGGACCCAAGTTCAATCCCCGGTACCAAAAAAAAAACCAGCACCATGTTTTACAATTTTTACAGTTTCTTTCCCATACGTGTCATTTCAACAAGCCTGAAGGAAGGTGACCCGTCCCTTTATAGAGGCTCAGAGATGTTTGGTTACTTATCTAGCGTCACACAAGACTGACAGAACTTGGCCTGGGACCCAAAACCTCTGTCCCTCTACCTCCACTGCCACTCTTTCTACAGGGCATTATTGATGAGGAAAGGCCCTATGTTCTGATCACAGGATGCATTGCAGCTTCTGGGAGAAAAACAAGAATCCAAAAGCTGGCTATATAAGTTCTTCGGACAGTGGAAGGGCTTCTTCCCTGGTTCTAGTAGGCTGAGTCATATGCCACACCATTCCTGAGACTGGTCATGCCGGTTCCCCAGTTATGGAGGTAGAGAAGGCCGCCAGGTTCCTCCCATAGCCCTGTTTAAAGAGGAAAGATGCTTCAGATAATTTAAGTAATAATACATAGAGAAATCTAATCAGGGAATATGACATAGAGTGGAAATTCTGTTCTTTGTGAAAGAAACTTGAGGCTTCTCTTTAGGGGCTGATCCTGTACCACAAAAGCAAACAGAAAGACCCTCTTGTTTTTCCCTCCATTTCTGCCTGAAAAGAACTAAGAAATTTGAGTTAAGCATTCCTTTAGGACTAACGGTCATTTCTTTAGTTAGGAAGGAATTCTTATGTCAGAATTTTCTGGTTTCAGAATCAGTAAAGTAAAAGATTTTTGGTTTTGACTTTGTCGTTTTGTTTTGTCTGAGACAGGGACCCCTCACTATGTAGCCTAAGCTGGCCCCAAACTTGTATTGATCCTCCTGCCTCAGCCTCCCAAGTGCTGGGCTTATAGATGTGTGCTACCACGCTCAGCTAGGAAAGTGAAATTTTAGAGTTTGACATCAAAGATGTTTTTGAAAAGCCCTTTCAAAATTGGATCATGTTTCAATTTGGTATTTTGGTCTTTTGAAATTTTATGCATTTCTATTTTTAGACAACTAAGAAGTTAAAAACCAAAAGAATAAACCTTGGTGTCAGGTTTAAGAGTCACTTTTAAAAAGAAAGATAAACTAATCATGCCTGAAAAGTGAGTTGTGGTTTGGAGCTCCAGTCTGGGTTCAGCTTCATTTAGGTAGGTAAAAGAGAAGGCAGTTGATAACCAGTTGTTTTTAAGATTGCATGGTTGGCTCTTGTGGCCACCTCTGGAAGGGCTACACCACTTGGCAGGGTGTGGCACTTGTTTTCTTCGCATGACGTGGTTGCCTGGCATAGACTGCCTGTGACTCGGCCACCATCCAGTTGTGTTTGCAGAAATGAAGTATTGTTTGCTGACTCCAGTTTCCTGTCTGCTGCTTTGTTCACATGAGGTGGTTTCTTCTCATTGCTGCTCGAGAACACAACTAGTTTTCAAGCATTGTCAAGGATATCCTTTAGGTGTGATGTTTTCCTGTTGGAAGAAGCCATCTGAGTGACAGATAATCACAGAACGTGACTGCTAGTAACTGACACGTCTCCCTTTACTGCCTGGCTCCTGCCTGCAGCACCTCCACATCTGCGTCTTCCACCAACTCTTGAAGGCCCTGGGGAATTTCTGACATTACTAAAGGGACAGACATCAGGAGAATTTTGTGAAGTACTGATCTGTTAAACGTCATGGTAACGACACTGTTTCATGTGGAATCTGACGTTTTTTGTTAGACCCTGTGGCAGATGGGGTGGCAGACATCTGGGATTTAAGGCCGTCAGGGACAGAGGCGCTTGGAACTGAAAGTGCTTTTGCCCTGCCAGTGACCCGCTCTTCAGCTGTCTCCCCTCAGCAGGGCGGTGGGACCCTCCGTCTGTGGAGGTGCAGGGCTGAGCCTGGCTGGCTGGGGTGAGCTGAGCCTCGTTTCACAGGAGCATGGCATTTGCTTCCAGCCCTGTTGTCCTGAGCTCTGTGATCTAGGGGGAAGCAGGTTCCCTCAACTCCGATGTCACCCCCTCTTTTGTAAGTAGGACTGTCGCTGCCTCAGACAATGAGTGTGAAATAGTATCACATATTTGGCATCATCGTTCCTCGTACATCCAAAGACTCAATTCAGAAAATGTTCATTTTCTCTTTTTTTTGCTGGTACTAAGAATTGAAACCAGGGTCTTCCTACTGGCCTCCATCCCCATTTCTTTTTAAAATTTGTTTATTTAAAGATGGGGCTGGGCTGGGGATTTAGTTCAGTGGCACCGCACCTGCCTCGCAAGCAAAAGGTCCTGAGTTCGATCTCTAGTACCAAACAAATAAAAATAAAGATAGCGTCTTGCTAAATCACTAAATAGCCTAGCCTGGGCTGTAACTTGTGTTCCTACTGCCTCAGCCTCCCATTGTTTTCTCTTTTTACCAAGTCTGGTTTTGTATTGTGTGTTGTGTTGGAGGTCCTTGCATCTTTCTATAAATATTCTCACATATTCAGGAAGTAGGTAGGCAGAGGTGGAAGAGAAGACAGCTATGTCTGGGTCTGGTTAAGATCTGTTGGTGGTAGCCTCCTTCCTGTCCTGAGGTAAATGAGAACCGTTTACTCATGGGTTGGTATTGTAGAGTTGGATCTTTTGGGGATGGAACCTGGGGCCTTACACAGGCGAAGGGAGTGCTCTACCATTGAGCTACACCCAGTCCAGAACTTGGCTTGTGGGGAGTCCGTAGAGGCTGTGTGTGTAGCTCAGGAGTGGGGTGCTTGCCAAGCATACCCCAGCCCTCCATTCAATCCCAGCACCACAAGGAAACAAAGGAGCAAACACAACCACTTCTATTTCTGTATTGTTTATAGAGATGTTTCTAAGTGTACAATACTTTTTTGTGGGGGTGGGGTACCGGGGATTGAACTCAGGTCCTTGCGCTTTCAAGGCAGGGCACCGAACCGCTGAGCTAAATCCCCGGCCCTACAATACATTTTGAAAATGTATATAACCTCCACTCTGTTTAAGACATAGAAAAATGCTTCCGTCATCCTGGTTCCCTCATTGAATTTGATCTTAACCACTCTATTCAGCTGGGCTCTTAAGTTTGGTGATGAGCAGCCCTTTGGCTTGCATATGGCACAAAGCCCTGCCTCCTGCTGATACTGACCAGTGCTGCTTACCATACGGAATTCATGTGCTTGCTACTGCATTTTACTGGGGACCCAAATATTTCTTGTTCCTTTTGCTTTGGTATTGTTTTGGGAATTAAACCTCTCCAGCTCCTTTGCATGGAAGTACATCCCTGGCCTTTTAAAATTTTTTTTTTTTTTTTTTTTTTTTTTTTTTTTTTTGTGTTTAGTTTTTTTCT